ACTCAAAAGTTTCTTTACAGTAACAGATTTATTGGGATGATCTTGTTAAAACATGTTAGGAAAAGTTGGGTACGACATGTTCGGTGTCCTTATGCATATTTTCATGCTTCAATATGTACTGCAGGAAATTTGTAAAGACAGTAGTGGACATAAGATGTGTATCGACCTCAAAAACTGCGGTGTGACAAATCGCGATTTTGTGAAAAGCTTCGTATACGAAATAGTTGATGGTGACGAACGGTGACTATAGTTGATTCCATCACAGTAATTGAGTTTTCTAAAAAACCGCAGAATTAGATACCACTCTTATAATCAAGAAAACTGCGATTGCTAGAACCGTAGTAAATCACGATTTTACTTTAAAATTTTTTCCGTTGATAGAGGCTAAATAAAAATGTTCACAACTTTCAAGGAAGTGTTTCAAAACCAAATACTTTAAGAGTTTTTACTAAAGCACTAAACAGTACCTACAGGAAAAAAAAGCATTGAAATTGGAGGAACGCATCTGAAAAGGTTGCCTCATTAGTTATTCGTTATTTGAATGTTTTATCTGATGATGTTCTATGCAATAAAAGATAGTTTATCTTTGACTATTTGTTTTTTAATCGTTTCTTCTTATTTAATGACTTAAATAATTTTATTAAATACTGTATCTTATTTTTGTTTAGCAGCTTAATGAAAATAAAAACATTGAATTATGCTTGATCTATTTATATTTGATTTATTTCTAAAAGATGGTTCATTCATCAAGTCTAGATGTGATTGTCAAGGAAAAATCTAATAATATAGTGACATCTATCTGAAAAACTAAATGTTTGATTATCGTATTGAATAAGTTTGTTCTTCCAATAAATGTCTGCATAATGATGTGAAAAAAGAGAAAACATAAAAAATAAAAAAATGTCATCGTTTTGATTTATTCGATTATTTAAATGAAAGAATTCGATGGCAACAACAACTAATTCTCATAGCGGAAAACATCGATCAGATCCTGAAATTGAAAAATATCGATTAGAACTTAATTGGACTAAAATTCTTGATAAATTAAAAGCTGCAAAAGTTTCAGGTTTTGATTTCTTACTTTGTTTATTTAAAATAAAAATTTCAAAGTGTAATTTGTTCTTTTTTTTTTGTGTTTGAAAAGAATATGTTAAATTTTTGGATGGAGAAGCTCAATTAGAATATTATTTACAACAATATCCGTTAACTGATAGTCGTCATATTGAACAATCTCGAAATGATTTAATTCGTATTGAAAATCTTCTTAAATCAGGTGGATCAACTCGTTCATTTGAAGGTCAATGTCTATTAGCTAAATTATATTATGCTCAAGCACGTTATGATGAATGTTTAACAAATGTTAATCTAGCAATTAATTCAATACCAAATGATATAAATGAACAACCAAATAGATCTTCTTTATTACTTGCAGAAATTTATGCACTTAATGGACTTTTATTAGAAAAAAAAAATGAAGATTTACATGAAATAATTAAATCATTTGATGATTCTTGTAAATTAAGTCAAACATATTATGGTGCTGTTGAAAAAACTAAAAATTTAAGTAATGATAATTTGGATATTGAAAATTCTTTAATTGAATTAGCTTATCAACGTTTACCACTTTTACATGCTTCAAATAAGTAAAAAAAATTTTTTTTTTAATAAATATTAATTGAAGAAAATCTTGATTTAAAATCAATATATTATTATTATTATTTAGTAATATAAAAACAGCAATTGAAATATTTCGTTCATATATTCAAAATGTTCATATTAAATCATTAGAAACAATGAGACAAGTTTGTTTTAAATAAATTAAATAAAATACATTGACGTTTTTTTCTGTTAATATAGACATTAATTAAACAATATGCTGAATTATTATTAAAATGTGTTTGTAAAGGAAATTATATTCCAATAACAATTTCAGATGAGAAAAATAATAAAGTTAATCGTCGAACATCTCAGTAAGAATAAATAAATAAAAAAGATAAATAATATTCTATAAAATAGATCATTATTTATTCCTCGAGATGTTGATGAAGAAATTCTTTTATTATTATTATTGGGTCAAACATCAACATTAAATGAAGCTGTACTTGATTGGCAACCTGAACATGAAGGTCAAAGAGAACGTAGTCATCAAGCTGCTTATAATATTCTTGCTCTTTTATCAATATTTCTTTCTCGTAAACAAGCATTTCATATTATTGCTGATGTAATATTTTTCTTTTTATCTTTTATCTTTATAAAAATTAAATATAATATATATATATATATATATCTAGTCTTATGAACAAGCTCTTCGTTTTTCATTTGAACATTTTCAAACATGGTTTAATTATGGATTATCATTAATATCATCGGGTCAATCATTTCGTGCTTATCTTATATTTAAAGAATGTTTACGAATGCAACCAAAAAATCTTCAAGTTTGTTTACAACTTGCTAAAATAATTCTTGAATATATATATGATGTAAATATAATCGAATGTTTTTTTTTTCTTAATTGATATTTATTATTTAAAAATAGTTTCCATCATTATTTGAAACATTTCCATCAAGTGGTGAAGATGGACAACCATTATTAAAACAAACATTAAATCAACAACAATATTATTTAAATCAACATGAACAACGACCTAGATTTATTGATCTTGTAATTTTCATTTTTTTTTTGTCTTTTATTTATAAAAAAAAATGCTTAAAATTAAGATTGATGAAGCAATTGATTATTGTCAACAAGCAAAAGATCTTGACAATCCTCCATTTGCTCGTTCACTTCTTCTTCTTGCTATTGCTAAATCATTTAAAGCTCGACAAACATCAATTCATCATGATCGTCAAGCACTTTTTCATTCAGCTATTATTGATCTTCGAGAGTAGTTGATTTATTTATTTTATTTTTTATATAAAAAATTTATTTTATTTCAAAGATCTATTGAACTTGATCCATATGATTCCATAGCACATTTTCATCTTGCTCATAATTTATCTTTTCTAAATCAAGTTTGTTTTTTTATTAAATAATTATTAAATAAAACTAATTTAGATTTAATATAGACTCAAGAAGCATTAAAATCAATTGAAACATGTTTATTATTATCACCAGATGATAAATATGCTCTTCATTTATATACACTTTTACTTACAGCTCAAAAACAAATGCCTGAAGCTTATGCACAAATATATAGAGCAACTAATGATTATCCAGATATTAAGTAAAACATTTAATTTTTGTTTTTTCGTTTTAAATTGACTCATTTTAAGAAATTCATTGAAAATCAGTATAAATTATTGAAATATTCAACTTAAATTATATTTATTGAATTAATAATAAAGATTAAATTGATGAGAACTTTAAAAATGTTTTAAATAGAATATCAAACTGTAATAAGTTAGACTATTTTTATTTCTCTGTCAAGTCTTTTTTTTTCCCAACAATCAAACTTCTTAGATAAATTGATTACGCATAGATTTTTAATCGAAAAATAAGAAAAAAAAACAACCGAACATTTCTAGTAAAATATTTTGAACTATTAATCAATTAAAAAAGGCAATGTCTTACTTTCAGTATGAATATATCATCAAAAATAAAATCAAATAAATTTAAGATGACGAATAGTTTATGGAAAATATATTCGATTTATGTTAAAAAGTTAAATATTGTTTTAACATATATATATATATTGAGATTCATCTGATCAATAATCATTTTTTATTGATTTTATATTTTATCTATTTATTGTTTATTTAATAAATAGACAAGAATAAATTATCGTTTATAGTATTGAAAAAAACAAAATAAATTCTTTTCATTAATTGTTTTAGTTGAAAATTAAATATAATAAATAGGAAAAAAAAATTTTGTGTTTTAATATAAAATATAATATATGAAATAAATTTAGTTTATTATTAACAAAAGCTGGGATTGAAGAAGAATTATATGGATGTGAACAATCAATAATAACATGTAAAGAAGCATTACGTATTTGGAAAAATGAATATCAACCTATATTAACAAATAATCTTCCTTATCTTCGGGATACATCACATTCAAGGTTAGTTTTAAAAAGAAAATACACAACAATAAAAATTTGTTTTTTTTTATTTAAAATGATGAAAAAAAAATGTTGTGAATATTTAGTGGTGGAAATCGTCCAAGTAGTCGATCACAAAATCCATCAGTTAATTTGGAAACTGATGGTGAACAAATATTAAGTAGTCAACAAGGAACATTAAAAGTTGAAGATGGAATTAAAAATTTATTTCTATTTGGTTTTCGACCATTTGCATCATTAATTAATGATGATAATCCACTACGGAATAATCCATCACCAACACAATTTTTTTCTGTTCAACCAATTTATTTTAGTTTACTTCAAATATTTGAACATCTTGGTAAAAAGGAATTTTTTTTCTAATATTTATATTTGAATAATAAATGATTTTTTATTTTTATATAAAAAAAAAGTTCGATATTATATAAAATTAGATAAAATTGATGAAAGTGAACGTTGTGTAAAAGAAATTTCATCATTAAGTCCATTGTGTCATCAAATGTTTTATATGCGTGGATTAATAAATGATGCTCGTGGTCAATTAAAATTAGCTAAACTTAATTATAATGATGCATTAGCTATTAATCCATATCATTTTCCAACATTAATTCAACTAACAAAACTTTTAATTCAAATAGGAAATTATTCATTAGCTGAAAAATATGCAAGAGATGCTATTTCTATTCAACCATCAAACTATCAACCTTGGTAAAAACATTTATTTTTATTTATTATTTATTATTTTTTTTTTTTTAAAAACAAAGGTATTTATTAAGTTTATCAATGGAAGCTCGTGGTGAATATGAACAATCGGTTGATGTTGGTGCAACTGCTGTGCATTTAGAAGAAGATTCACCAATTGTTTCTTATCATTCAATAATACGTGTTCTTTAATGATTTGATTTTATTTTCATGTTTTTTTTTGTGTTTATCATATTAATTATATTTATTCGTATTTAACCTTAAATAATGTCCTGGTAGAAGTGTATCATATATATTTGATTGTTTTTGACGATTTCCATAGGATAAATGACGATCTTTGTTTGTTGTTGATCGAGATGAAGAAAAATTAGCTAAAGACTCATATGGAGGAGCAGGCTCAAGTTAAATAAATAAAAAACAAACAAAAATGATAATAGGATAGAAAACAAATATGTTTTAACCTACAGGAATATTACTTGATGGTGTTGTTATCTGAGATAATCTTGATTGTCCTTGTTGTCGTGGTGCAGGATATGGTGTTCGTTGCATTGATGTTGATGAAATTCGTGGTCTTTTTGTATAAACATGTTTTAATTTGGGATCAATTTGACTCGGTTTTAATGGTTGTTCACGTTGAGATGGAGAACGTCGATCAAGAACTTCTCGTACAACATTAACAACATTTTGATAAATAGCTCGATTTGGGTCTTGTGGAGGTGGTGGTCCTTCACGTGGAACTAATGATGGTTGATAATCAGTTACAGGTGGAACTGGTGGATAATGAATACCAGTTGGTCGATGATATTGACCTTCGTTTATTGACCAAGGTATAGGTACTATTGGTGTTAATCTTTGATTAGCATTTATAGAACTTTTTTTAGTACGAACATATTCTTCCATTAAACGACGAATTTCATGAAGTTCGCGTAATAAAATTAACTCGACATTTGAACCTTTCCTATCTGATCTTCGATTAGTTAATGAAGATGTTGATGATGATGACGATGATGATGACGATGAAGGAGACCAACGATAATCATGTTGAAAATGTTTAGTTCGATGTCGTCTATCTGAATATTGAGATGATGAATTATCCGAATAAGTTCTAATTAATGAAAATAAATTTCAATTTATATAAATAGAAAAATAAAATAACCTGTGTCTGTCTTTCCCTAATAAACCATGTGTATAAACAAAATCTTCCATAGCTGCTGCTATATAAGGATCACTTTCAATAAGATCAGCTATTTCAGCTTGATCATCGTCAAGTTTAAGTTCATTATATGATGATTTTCTTCTTTTTTCTAAACGATGTGATCTTGAACGTAATGATAATCTTGGAACTTTTTTTTCTTCTTCTTCTTCTTCTTCTTCTTCTTCTTCTTCGTCCTGTTGTTGCCGTTGTTGTTGTTGTGATTGTTCAAGTAAACGACGTTGCATATTGAATAAATGTTGTTGAAAAACTTCTTGTTGCTGTTGAACTTGTCTTAATTCATCTTCAGTCAATGGTCGGTTGGAATCTTCAGACGAAAGATTAGCATTTGTAGGAAATGAAGAAACACTAGGTAATATTTCCTACAAAATTAAATAAAATAATTATATTTAAAAAAAAATCAACAACAAACTTTTTCTAGAAGAATATTATATTAACCTGATATATCGGTTGAGTTTGAGGTATTTGTGTTGCTCTTCTTTCTAATTCTTGACTAGTGCTTTCTAGTGATGGTAAATTAGGAATAACAAATGATGGTAGTGGTGGTGGTGGTGGGAAAATCTCGTTATTATTAATATACTTTGGTTGACTATGTAATGAAGGAAGAAAATGATGTTGATGCAAAATTGGCATTTGATCCAATGTTGAAACTCTGACCAATTTTGGTAAACGTCGTCGATGTTTTCGACGCATACGTGGTAAACATGATGAAATAGCATGATGTCCACCTAATATGTGATTGGCATAATCCACACTATAATTATGATAATAAATATTATTCCCTGATGAATATTCATCATTACAATGGTCGTAGTAACTCATTTATTTCTAGTTATATCGACTATGATGAACGACAAATAACCATGAGACACCACGATGACGACGAACCGAGAAGGTTTTTTTTTTCTATTCTTACTATTATATCTATACAAGGTTTTTTTCTTTACCTTTATGCTACAGGTCATATATTAGTCATAACTAATTATTCGATATCGAACCTTTATTCATTCTTACATCAGATTTTATTCTGGTTCAAAAAAAAACATAGAACATATTAAACTTGATCTTTCTCAAATAAAATTCATTCTAATCTTATTAGATTTATATCTGGAGTGATTTACTTTATTTATAGAATAAACATTTAGACAATATCAAATTATTATTTTCATTTATTAAAAATTCCTTTCAAATATTATCCATTGCAATCAACTTAACACTCTTTTATATTGAAATTAGCAATCGATTTATATATATATATATATACATATATAAATCATTGAAGTAAAATCTTCGATCGATGATACTTTCATTAAATAATTTCATGGTGATAGACTCAGTCTCTTTACTTGTTTATTTTATTTTCAATGAAAAACTCTTTAAAATAAAGAATAGTTGAAACAATATTGTCAAGTATTGAGAATAAAACATAACCAATTGATTTTGTTCGAATACGAGTTTTACTAAATAAAAAAGCAAACTATAAATCTTATTATTTATTTCGTTTGGAATTAAATATTCATATTCGTTTGTATAAAAAGTTTGTTTAGAATTGATTAACAAATCGTGTGATGAACAAGTGAAGATTTCGTGAAGATCTTCAAGAATTTATTCCTGAACGAGATTTTATTCGACAACATCCAATGGTTTATATGCCCTTTGGTCAAGGTCCAAGAAATTGTTAATGAAAATTAAATTATATTTGACTTATTTTCTTCATCAATATACAATTAAACTTGATGATAAAACAAAAGAAAAGTTTCTTATTCGAGAAACATTAGCCATTGGACCCGATCAGGTTTTATATTAAACTTCATAAACGTTAATTTAACTCATTTCATTTTTAATTCATTATTATAGAATAATCTATTCAATTAAACGTCAATATGTATTTATTTTTTTTACATCAATAAAAATCGTTTGAAAATTTATTTAACTTTGAAATATTCATGATATAAATAAACATTATTCTGTTCGAATAGACTTTAATTCATACGAAATTAAGTTGACTATTATGTTATGAGAATATTTTATTATTTTATGTTTTGACAAAATCAATTAAATTGATTCTCTTAATAATATGACAATGTAAGAATTTGATTTTATTTGAATAAGAGTTGTTTACATATTATTAAATACTCAAGGAAATTTTTCTTCTTATATTCTACGTCAGTATCCAGTTCAATTGTTTGCGTTTTCCTTTTTTATATTTCTATATTAATCAACATGTTTTAATTGTCTGACAAAATGATTAATTCTTAAATCTATTCAACATTCTACTTAGAACTATACAAAAGTAGTGCCATAACTACTTTAATTTCTTATACAAAGCTTAAAGAAACTTTTTCTCTATATGGATTAATAGGAAAAATGACGCTCTATTTTTCTGTGTTATTCCATCGTTCCTCAAGTAATATCATTATAAAAAAATTGCGATAAAATCTGTTTTCTATCTCTCATATATGACGGTTATAATGATGCCTACTTAAAAAAACGCAGATTGAATATTTTTTTGAATAGCTTCTGATTGAAACAAGATAGAGTGCTGTGACTTTCACTGTTCGAAAGAGGAGATGAAGATGTATCGAATTGTATATTATACGTTTTTTTTTTGACATGAGATTTTTAAGATTGTCAATCAACTTCTTTGAAAACGAATCTATCCTGTGAGGTGTTTACAGAAAATTTTCAATTGTCACGTATATAGTCAAATCATCAATAGAAGATCTGCAAAATCGCACAATTTTCAGATGTTTAGAATTAATTATTCAGCGGTTAGAGATATTTTAGTCGAGACTCAGAGTGCATGTTCATCTTCTCTTTCAAATAATGAAAATCGTAGCTCTCTTTTATAAGGAATTAAAGTAGCTCCACCATTACGTTGTTATAGTTCTAAGTAGTAAGACAAAACAAAAAACGAAAATGGAATTTTAGTTTTTTTTTCTTATTAGACTGTTGAGAAAGGCAAATGCAAATAGTTCTGTTTCTGAATATCTAATCAGTGATTTATTAATCTAAAATAATTTTCGATGTAAAGATTTAGATAATAAAAAGTCAAATTATTAATAAGATGTTTCTTGATCAATAATTGAACCAGGATATTTTCTAATTATCCATTTTCTCCATTCATCATAGATAAGAACAAGTAAAGTGAATGGTAATGGTAAAAACCACCAATGTAATCTAAAAAAAGAACAAAAATAATTCAATCAATTTCTACAAAATCTATCATAATGAGAAACTTACTTTAGTGGATACATCATTAAACCACGATTGATATATGGTGTATAAGATATAAGAATGGCAAGTAGAGTTTCGAAGATAATACTCATATTAAGAACATGATTTCTTCAAAATGAAAAAACAAAAACACCAATTATTAAAATATTCGAAAAAATTACAAGAATAAAAAAATTTTTTCTTCACGAATTTACAATATTCTTATCTTAATCATCTCAATAAAGACTTATTTGTATGAAATTATATATTTATTTGTTTGTTTTTTAGATAATTTAAGTAGAATATCTTGTGGGTTTTTTTAACGAGTACAATTGTGAAAGAATTTTAAAAAGAAAAGATTTATTAGTGAAAGATAAAATAACTTACGACATTCCTTGTCGAAAAAGTGAATTTCGTCGAGATTTACAACATAATAAAACAGTCCATTGAACAATGACTACAGTTACAAAAAAGGCAGTATGACAAGTATCTTCTAATGCTTTCCGTTGTTCATAAGTCTAAATATGACAAAAAAAAAAAAAAACTCATCTGTTTGAAAATGTATTAAATAAAAAGATTAAAAGTCTATAGTTAAAATAAAATTAATGAAAAAAAAAACAAACCCATTCTTGTCCATAAGAATCTTCAAGATCATTGATTGATCTTGAATCCCAAGATTTTCTTAATCCAAATAATCTTGATGGAAAAAAACCATTTTCAGCCATGACAATAGTATAAACAAAAAAACCTCCACCTGCTTGAATCATTCCCAATTGTCCATAACTCATTGAAATAAGTCTATTATTATAGAAAACAAAATAAGTTTAAAACAAAAAAAAAGTCATTTAAAATAATTTAAAATGTAAAACCTATCAGTAGCAAGATGTTCTGTTTTAGCATCTCTTGGTGGTCTTTTCATAATATCTGATTCCGCTCTTTCATATGCTAATGATATAGCTGGTAACATATCAGTACCCAAATCAATACATAATATAGCAATTGTACCTTAAATAAATTGATTAATCAATATTTGAATATAGAATTCAAAAAAAAAAAGAAAGATTCATTATTACCAAGTGGTAAAGGAATTTGAAAAATCATATAAAGAAGAAAAGGACTTAATTCAGGAATTTTTGATGATAATGTATAACAAATTGATTTTTTTAAATTATCAAAAATAATTCTTCCTTGTTCAATTCCAGTTATAATTGATGCAAAATTATCATCAAGTAATATCATATCAGATGCTTGTTTACTAACATCTGATCCTGTTATACCCATAGCAATACCAATATCAGCTTTTTTTAATGCTGGAGAATCATTAACACCATCACCAGTAACAGCAACAATTTCACCTAATCTTTGACAAGTTTCAACAATAATTAATTTTTGTTGTGGACTTGTTCGAGCAAAAACAATTTCTTGATGATATTTAATAAGATTATCTAATTGTATTGAATTCATTGTTTTTAATGTACTACCATGAATAACACATGATCGAGCATTATTATCAAAAACATTTTCAATAAGTTGTTCAGTTGTATCCTGATCTGTTATAATCCCTGTATAACGTGCAATAGCAGCAGCTGTTAATGGATGATCTCCTGTTATCATTAACAAACGTATTCCAGCTGAACGACATTTTTGAACAGCTTCAGCAACATTAACACGTGGTGGATCAATTAATGAAATTAAGCCTAAAAATCTAAGACCATCTGTTGGAAAATTAAAATGTTCAAAATAGGGATTAACATGAAAATTAATTGTGTCACAATCAAATTCATATCCACGTGGATATTTATTTAATGGTAAACGATAATCAGCAAAAGCAAGAACACGTTCACCATGATTACCTTTTTTTTTTTTGAAAATAAAATATAAGATTTTTTATTAGAATTATTTAAATAAAATGTTTTTTTTTAAATTTTTTACTTAATTCTTTAAACGCTGTTTCATATTGTGTTTTCCAAAATTGATTAAATTCAATTTCACAACCATCAACATATATGGTTGAACAATTTTTGATAATTTTTTCTGGTGCTCCTTTCATAACAAGTAAATATCTTTCATCATTATCATCTGTTGAATGAATTGATAATTGATAACGATTTGATGATGAAAATTGGACTTCACATACTTTTGAATTTATTGAACGATAATTTGAAACGTTACCTGTCTTTAGTAGTAGTTTTTTTTTTTATTATTTTAATATAATATTAATAAAAAAAGAAAAAAGAAAAAAGTAATAACATACAATATCTTCCATACATTTAAGAATTGCTATTTCACTTGCATCTCCTTCACATTGTCGTTGAAGAACTGGTTTTGAAAGATTATTTGGATCATCTGTAAATGTAGCTGTATTACATAACGTAGCACATCGTGCTAATGCACTCCAACAATGAGAATATTTTATATAATTTGATTCTATTTTAACAAAATAACAAATTTTTATATAGTTTTCTTACAAAAAAAAAGGAAATTACGTGTATGAAAAGCATCAATATCTGAATCAATAATATGATTATCAAACCACATATGTGCAACAGTCATTTGATTTTGTGTTAATGTTCCTGTTTTATCAGTACAGATAACTGTTGTTGAAC